ATTTCGAGGAACTCCGGCGCCGTCGCAAAGCTTGCCGCGAGATAGGGTCGTCGCTCACCGACCATCGATTCACCATCGTTATTTGTCAATCCATGGGCGACGTCTTTCGACACATTACGGCACCTCTTCTCACCAAATCCGACCCAGAAGAAGTCATCTTGACGATCCTCTCCGTGCACGACAACGAAATGTTACAGTCGGGACGACCGCAGAACCCTCTCGGAATCACGCAGGTCGCAGCGTCGGGAGAGCAGCGTACTTCGGCGTTCATGACGTCAGCAAAGCTGCGATGATTTGCGACTGGTGCCTGTGGAAGGGACACTCGAAGGATCGATGTTACTGCGAGGGTGGTGGGATGGCGGGCCAGCAACCGTCGACTTGGAAGTCGCAGCCTAGGCCAAAGAAGGGGTCTCCGGCCGACTTGGCGCATCCCATGGCAAGTGCGCAGATCGTGAGCGCACCTGCAAACACCACGTCAGGTTCCTCGGTTGCCACACCCACCGCGGCCTTGAATTACAACGTCTTCATGGCGAGCGCAGTACTAGTCCGTGACGAATCGACAGACGGAACTATTCGTGCCTACCTAGACTCCGGAGCGAGCCATCATTACTTCACCAACCGCAACGACTTCTCCGAATACCTACCGCTAAAGCCGCATTCTGGCAGCAGCGCGAAGCGCGGTGCCGACTTCACCATCATCGGAGTCGGGTGCGTCCACGCCGAGATGCTTATAGATGGGCGAAGATCAGTGGTCACTTTCCGAAACGCACTCCACGTACCAGAATTGTCAGCAAACCTCATATCGGTGTCTCGGATCGACGGAAGCGGTTGCGACATTGCGATCAAGGGTGGAGAGATGCGAATCGCAGGCCAGGGAGGTGGATATCCGATCCTAGTCGGAAAGATGACTGCTGGAAACCTCTACGAAGTTGTGCTGTCGCGCGTCGACGGTCAGTCAATCCCGAGTACTACCGGACAGCTGGGGGAGCCAAGTGCCTTAGCGTCTTTGACGAACGCGAGGGCGGCCGATGTTCACACCTGGCATCGCCGTCTTGGACACGCGAGCGAGCGTACCATGATGGAGATGGCGAAGTCCGGAGCAGTCACGGGGATGGAGGTCGTCGGAGGGATGCCTTTGGGAAAATGCGAAGACTGCATCAAAGGGAAGCACCCCCGTAAGCCGTTCATGTCATCCGGTATCGAAGAAGAGGTGGGCGACCGCATCTATATCGACCTGACGGGACGCGCCCGTGAACCATCGCTGGGCGGCGCGTATCATAGCATGACACTACACGACGGGAAGTCCTCGTTCGAAGTGCTCGATCTTCTTCGAACCAAGGAGGCGGGGGAGACACTCGAGTCCTTCAGCAGCTTCAAATCAATGGCGGAGCTGCAGACCGGGAAGAAGATTCGCCGCATTCGCACCGACAACGGCCACGAGTTCGACAATGCACTGTGGGCTGCGTTCACCCGTGAACACGGTATCATTCACGAGATGACCACGCCCTACACGCCTCAGCAGGATGGAGTGGCCGAGCGAGGACACCGCACCCTAGGCGATCACGCCAGATCGATGCTCTTCGATGCTGGACTGCCCGTAGGGCTTTGGGGCGAAGCGTACAAAACGGCAACGTACCTGAAGAACTTGACCGCGTCGGCACGACAGGGAGGTCGCACCCCATACGAAGCATGGCACGGACGGGTACCAAATGTCGCGCACCTACGAGCATTCGGATCAGTGGCGTGGACGAAGGTTCCCGACGAGACACGCACCAAGTTAGACCCGAAGTCGATCCGGTGTATCCTAGTCGGATACACTGAGAACGCGAACTACCGGCTATGGGACCCGGAGGCCGGACGCATCATACGGAGCCGCGACGTTATCTTCGAGGAGGGACCAGGACATCGCACGTTGATCCAGGATGCGCCGGTTGTAGTGCAAGCCGAAGGCGTGGAGCAGGATCGCATTGAGGAACCACAAGTGGAGATGCCTGATGAAGAGCCGAACGTCGAACCCGTCGAACCCGAGCGGGTTGAACCCGGACTGGCAGGAGAAGCGAGACCGGCCGAGGTGGATGTACCGATCATGGCACCACGGGAGGCTATAGCTCCCCGCCGATCTGCGAGGACGACCGTACCAAGCCAGAGACTGAGAGAGTCCCATGAGTCCGATGACCGCGAGCAGGCAGCACGCGACAAAGGAGAGGCCTGGGCTGTTGACGACGATGAGTCAGTGCCACGCAACCCGAGCCCAGAAGGCGCGTACCTCGCTATGCTCACGGAGGCAACCTCAGCCGGCAAGGACGGAGACGTTCGATGGTACCGGGGGGGGAAAACGCCAGAGACCTACAAAGAGGCCAGTCGTCAGCCAGAAATATGGACGCCGTCAATGGACAGCGAGATCAACGGCCTGATGAAGATCAACGCTTGGAGACTCGTACCTCGGACGCCCGATATGAACGTGATAGGGAACAAGTGGGTTTATGCGCGGAAGTTCGCTGGGGAGGAGGAGGCCGATGGGAAATGGAAGCCGAAGGCGCGACTCGTGGCAAAGGGGTTCCAACAGATACCTGGCGTTGATTATTTCGAGACCCACGCCTCTGTCGTGCGGTTCGAGTCTTTGCGCCTAGTCTGCGCCACGGCGGTTGTACGCGACATGGAGATGGCGCAGGATGACGTCGAGAAGGCCTACCTCAACGCCTCCCCGGAGGAGACCATATATATGGAGCAGCCGGCAGGGTATGTTCGAAGGACTTCCCCACTCACGTCTGCGAGGTGGTTCGCGGACTGTATGGTTGCATGCAGGCGGGGAATGACTGGTGGAGGCATCTCGATGAGACGTACCAGGAGCTGGGGTTTTCGCGATCGCGGTCGGACGAGTGTGTGCGGGCGAGGTTCGACGAGGACGGGCTGGCGATCACCGCGACGTACACGGACGACATCGGAGAAGCCGCGGACTCAGATGCAGGACTGGCAACCGTGCGGTCCGAGCTCGCTGTGCGGTACCGGCTCAGCGGGGGAGGGGAATTCAAGTATATGCTTGGAGTCCTGATCGAGCGAGACCGGGTGCTAAAGACAATGCGGCTCTCCCAGCGCGCATACGCCGAACGCGTACTGGACAGGTTCGGCATGAAGGATGCAAACCCAGTTCGCACGCCGCTCGAGCCAGGCTGCAAGCTGTCAAAAGAGGCTGAGCCGGCGACCGCTGAGCAGCGCGAGGAGATGGAGAAAATCCCTTACCGCGAGGCTCTAGGCGCGATCATGTATCTCGCCGTCGCAACACGTCCTGACCTCGCTTACCCGGTGCAGCTGCTTAGCCGTTTCATGGCAAACCCGAGCTATGAGCACTGGCGTGCACTCAAGCGCGTTCTTCGTTATGTCAAGGGGACTCTGGACTATGGCCTCACTTACGACGGCAACCACTCGGCGGGACTTCAACCTACGATTTATTCGGACGTGTCGCAGGGCGATTGCCTTGACACCGGACGGTCGACCACGGGCACGTCGTCATGATGGCGGGCGGACCGGTCTCATGGAGTTCGCGTAGGCAAGCCGTGGTGACGTTGTCGACTACCGAGGCTGAGTACATCGCTGCCGTTCACGCCGGGCAAACGGGTGTTTGGATCGCGAATTTCATGGACGAAATCTACGTACCGATCAACCGTCCTGTGGTGATCCGAATGGACAGCGCCGGGGGAGAGAGTCTGGCGACACGCTCAACGAACTTCTCGCGTGTGCGACACATGCACATTCGGTACCACTGGCTGCGGGAGGCGATACGTGGTAAGCAATTGAAGATCATACATATTCCTGGGGCAGACAACCCCGCGGACATTTTTACGAAGGCTCTGACTTTACCTACATTACTTAAACACTTACTGTACATGCGCGTCGCGGTCCTGGGGGAGTGTTGAGGTGGGACCGAGACGCGGGCGCTTGTGATGACACGGACACGTGACGAACGAACGGACTCAACGGACGCGCGTAGAGTAGAGCTACCTCAGTCGAGTACCACGAGGACGCGACTGAGGTAAGCTTGTTTGTAGTCTTATTCTCGGATGATGGGCACTGATACTGTATTTCTAGACTCTGTAACCTTAACAGGTAGTGTAGCAATTGAGTCGAGTACCACGAGGACGCGACTGAGACTCTGTAACCTTAACATCTATAGTTGTACATGGCAGCTTAGGGCTCTCCACTATAGGGTCTTGCGTCTTCCGTTATATAGGTGAACATAGGCTGGCCGTAGTGTTAACGCGCTCACGAAATATAATGAAGCTAAAACACTGCAATTCCTTTCACTTGTGTGATCTTTTGAGTGCGCTACTTATTGGAATACATTGAACTGCACTATCGAGCAGGCGAGCGAGCGAACGTCGACGCCAGTGGACTTTGTCGTCTACTCCCATCTTGCCGCCCACGTCCAACATCTCTGCGTTCTCCTCCCAAGTCTTTTCCTCCACCTCTCTCTGATCAACAGCTCGGTCGCTGACTGCAAAACCGGGCTAATCCAACTACAGTCATCGCCGTTCCACCCGCACCGACCGATCGCTCTCTCCGACGTCCCTAGTCAAGCAAATCTCTTCCTTCTGACGGGTATATGCGTGCTCTCGCGCCACCGCCCGCAGTGCCGTCCGGAAGCTCACGATCGGGGAGGTAAACGTTCACCAACGAGGCCTTTCCGCTCCGGGTCGCGCCCGCGACCCCTGGACCGCGCGCAGGAGAATCATCGGGCTGCGGCCTTGGCGATACGCACGCCGACCTGGCCGACGGTCAGCGGGTGGTGTGGGCGCTGGGCCGCCAGGTACGACTACATTGTTGTCGGGATCCTGACTGACTCAGACTGTCTGTCTAGGGCGACTCTACACCGCGTACTCGGGGTACTCGCCGGGTCTCAGCGAGCTGGAGAGGCGGAAGCAGTTCTCGTATGCCCAGGTACCGCGGAGTCAAACCGTGCGTCGTGGCTCGAAAGCTGATCGAATTTTCTTCGAGGCGTCGGGCTAATCACGACACTTAGGGGCTTCCTCCGCTCGGACTCGCTCTACGGCACTACGTTTACAGTGCGTCCATGACCAGGTCAGTCGTGCGGTCGCTGGGCAAGACCCGGGCGTCGGGACATTGCACTTCTGTGGCCGGCTGGCGTCATGAAGTGAGGGCAATAGTGACACGGGTGTTCTCTGAGTGGCCGTCCCAGTGCGTGGTCCTCCCGGTGCATCCATGAATACCGTTTTCGACGGCGTTGGACCGCAGACCCTCTCATCGGGCTCAGGCTGGCGATGCGGAAGCAGTTCTCGTATGCCCAGGTACCGCGGAGCTAAACCGTGCGTAGTGAATTGAAGCTGATTGAATTCCTTCGGATGGGACCCAAGCGTCAGGACATGTAGGTGGTCGTCTGCCATGAAGTGAGACAAAGTCTCTCGTCCGGGACTGCAATCGACATCCGCGTGCGCGCATCCGCTCCCCAGCGCACTCTCGGCCGCGAGCTCATCGAGCATACCACCCGCCCCACTGCCCGTCAACTCTCGCCGCGAATTCATGCTCCTCGTCCTCCGTACGTCCTTCGGAACAACGTCGATTGCGGGCGGCGACCAGTTGATAACGCGGTAGACGAATTAGGTCAGCAACGCATTTTTTATCATCAAAATAGACCTCACCTCATGTATCCATGAACACATATTCGCACCAGACGGGAATGCTCCGCGACTCGACAGCGCCGGACGGCAATCTGTCCGGTCTTCGCTGGTCATGCCCCCGTCTAGCCGCACGGCAGCTCGTCTTAGCATGTGTACGTGGTTGTTGATGGCCGTTCGGTCGCTGGACGACTAGGTGGTTAGCAAATGGCGCTGGGCAAGCCGGTAGATAGAATGACACTCCCTAGTACTCAGAGTATACAGTAGATACAACTGTGAAGCTATTACTATAGTTCAATGAATCCAATTGTGTCATTGTGCATTGTCACTTGGGATACTGACAACTGCTTGAATTGAAGTTCAACGGAAGATAAGTGTCTTGGGAAGTATTCTTGGAGTAGCAACAAGCTGTAATGTGCTTTCAAACGGACATTACATGTGTTACTATACATTAGTACAAGAACGGTACTCTTTTACATGTATCACAAGCTAACATTCCACCTGACCAAGTTATTTAGGTACTGTATGACTTAAGAACTACTCCACGTGGCTTGTCAAGTATTTATATATCTTGCCAAGCCAAGTAGGTTTTTCCTGATGACAGTGGAAAGCTATTTAGTTATTCTCTATGCATTATTGGACACTGTACTGTAATGTAGGCACTACGTACTGCTATCGGTGTGTTGGAATGTATGCTTGGGTACACTGGTGACAGCACACCCGGCCCTCGGGTATAGTCTACGAACGGCGCGTCCGCGCAGGTACTTATCTCCTCGTCGCTGCTGCGGTATTGCGCAGTGTAGGAGACCCTTGGTGGTTTAACATTGCCATAAGAAGCAACCTTGCGAGCGCCCAAACGTGTCGCTCGAGAGGTTGCCTCACCTCCTCCCTCTGGTGTCGCCACCTAGTTGCGACGTCCTCAACATCCACGCGCGACGCGCGGCTCGGGCTCGGGCGTGCACAAGCACAACCCCGTCTCCTACTCCGACCTCGGCGGCATAGCAAGCACACCGAGGGCGCAACATAGAACGCGACGTGCACGGCTACGGCCTGGGCCAATGCCCTGCGTGCAGACGGGGCCGACGAACGGTCGGCGGGCGCGCGGGTGACGGATGGTATGGGACGAGGGTGCGTGAAGACGCGCATGAGCATGTGAGCTAACCGCGAACACAGGTCGCAGCGACATGTGGCGGGCGAGAGCGGGCGAGGGCGAATGCTCATCGGTGAGTACAGACACACGCAAACGAGCCCACTAACGTAGACACAGGACGCGGCGACGTACAGTGCGACGACCGCGAGCACTCAGGGCCAATGCCCTGCGTGCAGGCACGGCACGACCGTCGGACAGACGGCGGGCGGATGAGTCAACGAGCGGGCTGGCGAGCAGAGAGGAGGGCAGTCGGCAGGGCAGGTGGGTGAGTGGGCAAGCAGTAGGTCAGTGGGTGAGCTGACGAGCAGACGAGCGGGTCAGTGGGCATGCGGGCGAGAGAGGGGGCGACAGCACACACGCCAACCGTGAGCGCGCTGGGCGAATGCCCAGCACGCAGAGACGGCCATTGAACGCACCCACAGGCAGGCAGGCAGGCAAGTTGAAAAACGGGCGGGGAAGCGGGATAGCGGACGGGCGGGTATACGAGCGGGCGGGCAGGTAGGTACCCGAGCAAGCGGGCGAGTCGGCGGGCACACAATCAGGGGACGACACATGGCCGCACGCGCGCGTGAGTAGGAGACGGGAGGCGGCGACAATGGCCAGGGCCGGGATGCGCACAACACACGCCGATCGCGAGCGTGTAGGGCCAGTGCCCCACACGCAAACACGGCCGGCGAGCAGGCGGGCGGACAACTGGACGGGCGAGCAGGCGAGAGGACAGGCCACAGTATACGCCGACCGCGAGCGCGCCGGGCGAATGCCCAGCACGCAGGCACAGTCGACGAACACGGGTAGGCGGGAGAGCAGCGGACGGACGGACGGACGGGTAAGAGGACGGACGAGCAAGCGGACGGGTGGGTAGGCGAGGGGACGTGCAGGAGAACGAGCAGACGGGCGGGTGGATGAGCAGGCGGGCAGGTGAGTCCAAGAGTGGGCGGATGAACTGGCGGGGACAGGGTGTGTCGCGCCGACAGCGAGCACACAGGGCGAAGACCCTGCGTGCAAATGCAGCTGATGAACTTACAGCACGCGCACGGACCAACCGAATAGGTGGGGACAGGGCACGCCACCACATATAACACGCCCACCGTGAGCGCGCCGGGCCAATGCCCAGCATGCACACACGGCCGACGAACGCGTACGCAGGCGGGCAAACAGGCGGGCGGGCCCAGAAGCGGGCGACAACACGCACGCCGCCCACGAGCGCACGGGGCAAATGCCCAGCACGCAAGCGTGACCAACGAACGAACCGCCCGTGCGTGAGCGAAGGACAGCAAATGGCGACGGTGAACAGGGCCGGGTCGTGCGCAACACGCCAACCACGAGCACACAGGGCCAGGGCCCGGCGTGCAAACGCAGCTGACGAGCGCGCCGTGGGTACGGGAGCAACAGCGAGCACGTCGGAGAGCGTGCAGATGGTGCGTGAGAAGCAGGGACGTGCGAACACACGAATGCGAGCGAGCAGGGAGGACGGGGAGGACGGCGGGTGCAGGCAACAAGCCGACACCCGCGCAGGTATCACCGAGGTACCCCAACCCGCGGTCCACCGCCAACACTGGCAGTGAACCCGGGTAGGGTACGGGTAACACCGCCCGCGGGTACGGGTACCCGGGTCGCGGGTGCGGTATACGCCCTGCGCACCCGCGGTGGTACCCGTGTCCATCCCTACGCGGCGGCATGAGTGGACGCGCAAACTAATGGGCGAGTGGGCAGGCGAGCGAGGGATCAGGCGGGCGGATGGGCTGGCAGATGACAGCACTGGTGGCGACAGCACACACCGACCGCGAGCGCTCTGGGCGAATTCCTAGCACGCAGACACGACCGGCGAACGCACACGCAGAACCGCGGAAACACGGCCGACAAGCGAACCACGGGCGCATGAGCAAAGGGTGGGTGATGACCACAGAGGTGGATGGTGGGCGAGGATGGGTCGGTGACAACGGGCAGGGCCAGCAGACGGGAACGCGACACATGGTGACTGCGAACACGACGCACGCGGCGATTGCGAGCGGATTTAGGGCGAGGGCGAGGACGGAGGGCACGGCAAGGGCAGGGCACGGGTGAGGGCCAGGGGGGTGGTAGAAACTCGCGAGAGCGAGCGAGCAGGAGGGGGCAAGAAAACGGTAGGCATAGATGAACCCGCGGTTCACCGCCAACACTGGCGGTGAATCCGGATAGGGTCTGGGTAGCACCGTACAAGGCCTACACGGTTGGAGTTGGGTCCCTTTTACTAGATTTTTGCCAGCTTTGGTCGGCTCTAGTCGACTTGAACCGACTATAACCGACTTTTGTGAAGTTAGGTTATAACTAGCTTATGACCGGCTATATCAATTAGTCAAGCCTAGCTCGACCGAATCTAAGATAACTAGCTAGGTTACATTAAGCTGCCAAGAAAGTCCGCAAAATATAAGACTATATATGGTTATGGGCTAGTTTCTAAGTCCGTGCATCACTACTTACTGCATTGCACGAGAGGGCAATAAGGTTCAGCGGTACTTTGCTGAACTCTTCAAATGCAGAGTTGATACTCGCATCTGGGCGTCCCGCCAGGCCATAATACTGGTAGATCAGCTCTGGAATGCAATCACTTCGGAACGGTTCCGTCGGCTCGACCTTCGTATGCTAGGATGGTAGTTCATTCTCATGTTAGTTACTTCTGGTCTTGAATGCTAGTATCGTACCTCTCTGTCCAACTTCTTCTTGCGGTCGAAGTGGAACTCTATGCCGCCGAAGACAAAATTGGCGATGTTGTGTTTACGACTGCCGTCGGTGACCGTCGTGGAGTGTGTCTCTAGAAGCCAGCCGGCGATCTCAGTCCTTTGAGCCACGGACAGACCATTGAGCTTGAAGACCTGCTCAACGACCTGTTTCGCCTTTTTCTTGAGCTCATTTCGTGTCTGTGATGAGCACGTCCAAACCTATAGTTGATCAGAGCCTCTGACATTCTGAACAATGGAACGTTTAGACTCACCACGGTGTAGACTTTCTTTCTCATCGCCTCTCGTTCTTCATCTGTCATCTCCTTCCGAACTTCCGCTTTCTTTGCCTTCGGGTCCCCGTCCTTCTTTGCCTTCGGGCCTTGCAGCATCTGGAATGTGTTCTTCAGGTCTGCATTGTGTTTATTGCTCTTCCCGCGTCCAAGATGCGCTTCGCGAAGGCATGCACCAATCATCTTGTCACTGGAAGGCAGGCGGTTAGAGGTAATCGACGTCTCCTTAGTCCAGGCAGCCTTGAGGGCAATATGGAGGCGCAGACAGTTCTGCGCGGCAGATACAAGGGACTTGACACTGGCGGGCAGGTCGGCTACCTTGACGCGGTTGCTACTGTTGCGTTCACCGACAGTCCCCTGCTCGCGAGCAGGCTTGCTTTTCGCCTTCGTCTCAGACACGACCTGTGGATTATCAAGGCTATCATAATTATTAACCTGAGGATGATACTCACTATGACATCGCCGTCGTTCTCCTCCTGGACATCATCAACTTCATCCTCCCCTTCCTCGGACCCACTCCCTATGACCTCCTCGTCGTCTTCTTCATCATCATCATCGTACTCCTGGTCCTGGTACTCGCCCTCGTCCTCGTCATCGTCATCGCGTGCACCGTCCTCGTCCTCGTCCTGTCCTCGACCCCGACCTCGTCTTTGTCATCCACAACCTTGCCCTGGCCATCTCCCTCCTCGTCTTCATCGAGCTCATGCTCTGACTCGACCGCACGAATTGCCCGGCCCTTACCTTTGAGTTGCCCTGCTACGTCCCAGTAGATATGTAAGAGAGGTTGCAATACAATGCATGACGACATACCTTGCTCGAAGACGACTTGACAACGACAGACTTAGGCTTCTCAGACCTAGAAACAGTAGCTTTATCCCGAGTTTGACGTTGTGTTTGACATTGTCCACCTACTAAAAGATGTTGCGTTAGCCAGTAGTAATGCACGAGTGTGAATTATCGATCATACACAACATTTGCGCGACATCCTCCTCGCCGGCATCCAAGGAGGTTCCAGGTTTGACGGATTTGCCATATGCTGGCTTCGGTTTGGCTTAGTGGTAACACAGCGAGCTGGTCAGTAATGTGAACTGCTGAATATAATTTGATCACATACGTTGAGGTGCCTTAGGCTGCTCAGCGGTCACATCCTCCATCTCCACATCATTGGACGTGCCATCCTGTTCATCAACGTCTCTGTCCTCGGTGCCAGCAAGCTTCTGTTTAGCTTTGGTTGCTCTTCGTCACTCGATAATTCTTCTTCCGCCATCATTCTTGACGAGTTTTTGCGAACCCCTACCAACGCAGCATCATCGACACCGATTAAAATCAGTGCGTCAAGGACGATCACGATCCTCACTAGATGTTTGTTGACCCTTCTCTTTTTCCCGCTCCTTCTTGGCAGCCGCCTGGTTCGCCTTAGTCTTTGTTTGCTTGGTGGTTTTCTTCGAGCCGCCTGCGGCCTTGGAGGTCTTGGTCGACCGGGTTGATCGTGGTGTTCCGGCGCCTTGTTCGGTTGCGACGGATCGAGTAACAGGCTTGACCATGTCGGAATGCGCACTGAGGAAAGAGAGACAGCGACGATAGACTGTAGTGATGGGTGAGAAGAAATGAAAAACGCACCTCCGATAGCATCCGAGCGTCCGTAAACTTCAACAATTGATGTCTGTGATGTTCACAGAGCCCGCGAGGCGCGCTATTACGCACGGGGAAGCGCTCATCACATTCGATGAAACCACACAAGTATATTGAAGACGAACAAAGCTACGTAGCTATAGGTACGTCAAATAAAATTGGTATTAGTAGACCACCCGTTGCGCTCTTCGAGCCACTTCGTCATTTCGCGATCAGTATGTAATACAATGGAGGCTCTGCGACCCTTGAAGTGCAAGTTAAAGTGGGTAGACTTACAAGACGGAAATATGACAAAGTCGCCATTACGAAGAGGCACGACCAGCCCTGGTTCGTATAAGACAAGCTCACCGCCTTCAAAATCACCAATTGCAAGGACTAGGCATACGCCGTCGTCCTTGCTGTCTCTGTGCGCTGCTGTCACTACGTTGAGGTTAATGACCAGCCCTAGAAAAGGGCAGAGACGGCGGTGTTGTTGCCAGGCAATATGCGGACATACGAGTCCAGATGTTCGTATGTGCCTGGCATCATTTCCTTGAGCTGAAAAATAGATGTGTATCTTGATCAGTCGTGCTATGGAGACACAAGCAATGAGATAATTCACCTTCTTATCTAGCCAGTCAAAGATGGGTCCTAGGATGTTCTTGACCGACTGGTAGATTGAGTGATTCGTCGTCATATCTTTCGACGGGTAGGGTATTAGCTGATGGTAGTTGGTTTTACCCCGAACGTCCTCTTCATGGTCATAGGTGGTGCGCTCACTGGAGCGTCATGTCCCTACAAAATGGCGTGTTGGTGAATCAGAGGTCAATCAGTGGAGAGAATGTGCGCGTACAGAAGTGCAATGCCGATTGTACCAGGAAAAGTGCAGTGCCTGAAAGACATGCGCACCGCCGTCCTCAGCCGTGTTGATCTCCTTCAGGGCATTCGTTCAAAACAAGCAGCAAGACGATCTGGCAGACCGTCTCGCATGCTTTGAGGCATAGCCTTGCATATGCATGCAACAACGTCCAACTGTACAGACTGTATGATAAGCACATCCCTATCGCAATGAATGTCAGACTCTTATTGCATCTCAACATGTGTGCGTCTTACTCGAATAGACTGTTGTTCAGCCTTAGGTATTCACTATTTGCTGGACGTATGCCATCAACGTACATGGTCTGTAGCTACAAAATCGTGGATGAGTTAGATGATCTCGCTGTGCACACAGGCTGAATGTACCATTGAAGTCAGCTCATATAGGCTTGATGGTTCTACGGCTTTGCTAGCCAAGTTCCTCTGACGCTCTGTCCAGGTCGAGTTCTGCCCTCTGTCCCTAGGACATTGAAACCGCTGGTTGGCCAGTTGCTCTGGATCATATTTTGAGGTGACGGTGGTAGTAGAGGTGTCGGTGCGATCTGAGCGATCTGAGAGGGTGGAGAGGGACAATGGTGACATTGATGAAGTAGTAGGTGACAGCGACAATGGCGTGAAGCTGTCGAGTTCAGTTAAAGGCGACATTTGAGAGAATGGTGAGAGCGACGTGATAGGTGAGAACGACGTGAGAGGTGAGAGCGACGTGAGAGGCGATAACGACATGAGAGGCGGCGAGAACATCGGCCACGCGTCTGGATTGCGAGGCACAGCAACAAAAGAGCTGTATGTATACTAGTGAGTTAGGTCAACGATAAGATTGGTTGATGACTGTCACTTACTTCGAGGGAAGAGCACTGAACAGACGGTCTGACGCATTGAGATCACTGCACAGGCAATCGCTGGAGATATCCAGAGATGATAGGGTGACTGCTGTGAACAGATCACCCAGTCTTATGGGGCACCGTTCGCACAAAGACCCCACAGTGGGGATAACAGTTTGTAGGACAAGTCGTCCAACAGGGCTCTCTGTATTGCATGATTTGTTTAGTGCACAACTCACGCAAGAAGAGCAACACTAGTACTCACCTGCATCTGGGCATCACAGTATATTGGCGAGGTCGGAAGATAGATTGCCATCCGCTTCAATAAACGGCACGCGCAAGTTCGTATAGGCCATCCAGAGAAGCATATAGATTGAACCTGCAGGGTAATAAGCATACTGCTATGTCCGAATGTCGTTACAATATCTCACCTCCAGCCGCTAGCCTTGCTAGCTTGGTACCTCTCGAATACCAGGCTTGTACGGTGCGAACACTGGGGGGTTTGGCCTCTGTCGAAAGGTGCTCGCGCCATAAAGCGGAAATATTGATGTTCACCCATCCTGACAGACTAGACATGTAGACTGGTGAGTCAGATCATACGGAACTTATGGGAAGCTATTTACCTTGCACACTCAAAGCTGAACTTCATGAGCGCCACCATAAGATGGAAGTCGAAAGCACCCCTCTTGTGATCCATATTGGTGCATCGTTTGGCCAGCTGCGAGAGTGTCTCGTGCTTGTCTCCGTACGACGCTCGCTGTGGTTCCAAGAGTAGGTCCGCGCAGCTTGCAATTTCATCCTTGAGATCATAGGCTGTCAGAGTGTTCAAGAGATTGACGACTGTGGTGCTGGCCGCTTCGTGGGGCTTCGTCGTCATTTCCCAGGCAGCACGAGGCTGATTCTCACTGGCAATCCATTGTATGCCAGCTCTGGGACAGGGCGGCAGTGGGAAATGAGCCGGCTGCTGTGCATTTTTACGAGCCGACCTAGACGCAGGATCATACGGCGCGACAGCGAGTTTCCGACGCGACCTAGGGGCTCGCCTCGACGAACTGGATGTCCTAGGCTCAGATTCTGGATTTTCAGTCACGATGGACGAGTGAGATAGCTTTGCAACCAATGTAATATATATGCTGACCTTGTACTGGTACTGAACTGCCTGAATACGGTACGATACACGTACTGTTATGGTCCATAGGTTGCTCAAATTGTCTTTCTGCCAAACACTGTTCAGAGGGCTCGTGAACGACGATAGATGGTCCTTCAGCTTATCATTCATTAGTTTGTTGTTTTCTACGATCTCCTGTAGAGATAGAACGAGTTTACTGACCTGTGCCCGATGGACTCCCATGTGTCGTATGCGCCGCCTCTTGGTGCTCTGAGATCAGTCGCCTTAGCAGCGACAGCATACTTGGACTTAGATCCTGAAGAGACGAGAGGAGCTCAGAGAGCTCAATGACCTCAGTTTGACTTAGCTTCATAGCACGAATCCGTGAGTTACGCTCACGATGGCAGTGCGAACTTGAAGGCAGTGCAAACTTGAGGGCAGTGCTAACGTCAATACCCTCGAGCTTGGGTTAGGTCTTACAGAACCCTAGCTCCTGCAATGACGAAGCTTGGTGGTCATGCACCCAGTCAAAATATTACCCGTGATTACCATCCATTGATCTCCATTAATAGACCTCCACCGCACGACGTTTTGCTGTTACACATCACCCACTAGATTGAAATGTACCATACTACGGTCTCACTCGCCCGTTTGTCTGCCTGCTCGCCCACCTCCTCACCTACCTGCCTGCGCGTTCGTCGGCCGTATCTGCGCGCCGGGCATTCGCCCAGTGCGCCTGGGGTCGTCGTGCATGCGGTGCTCGTCTGTGTCTTGTGCCAGTCCCCGCCCTGAGCCCGCCTGCTCGCGCACTCATTCGCCCGTCCGCCCGTGCCCGTCCGTCCGCCCGTTCGTGGGCCCCTCGCTCGCCCTCGCGCCCGCCCGCTCGCACCTCCTCGTCATCCCTGCACCTGTCGATCGTTCGTCGGCCACATTATTTAGTGTGTCTAACCCGTTCGGAACGGTAGACCCGGAGTGAGATTTGCCCGTTTGGAACGTTGACCCGGAGGCCGGCCGGAGCAGCCCCAGGGTCCGGCCGGAACGTTTGCAACGGTGCCATTGCAATGCTCCGGCCGGAGGGCATGGCCGGCTGGTCATCCACCATCTCCAGCGTTGCGGCCGGCCTCCCCTGGAACCTTCCCGAGATGTTGCAACGGTCCGGCCGGAGGGCATATGGGCCGGTCATCCTCTTTCCAACAGTCCGGCCGGAGCAGGCAGATTTCTGAGCTAAACGGAGCGGCCGGGCAGTTTACATTGCAAATGCTCCGGCCGGTCAGTAAATACAATAAACATGGTACCATTAGCAACGGCCCGGCCAGAGTTCCTGCCAGAGCAATGTACACATTGCAACGGTCCGGCCGGAGCACATGGAATCAATTCCCAGCAATGCAAATGGTCCGGCCGGTCAGTCAATACACCACTGCAAATGGTCCGGCCGGCCAGTAGAAATGTCAGTGTCAATGGTCCGGCCGGCCGGATTTTTTCACCTTTTGCCGGCCGAAAATACAATGTCTCGGGCCGGGGGTACAGCCAAAACTCGGCCAAAGCAGCCAGCCATTTTGTCGGCCGAGCTTTTGCTTTGCCGACCGGGCACAGATTTCCCCGGGCCGAGATTGTTCAGATTGTCTCGGGCCGAAGATTTTCAGATTGTCTCGGGCCGAAAGATTTTTGGCCGAAGCTTGGTGGTGAAAGTGGCCAGACATTTCACCTGCCAACGGTTTGCGTCACCAATGGGCAAAGCATTGTCTCGGGCCGAAAAGTTGACAATTTTCTCGGGCCGAAGATTTGAGTACTGCCTCGGGCCGAAGAGTTGGGCATTTTCTCGGGCCGAAGATTTGGCCGAAGCTTGGTGAAAACAGCCGGGCTGTCGGATTGCCATATAAGGAAATTTGGTATTGACTGGTAGTACTTCATTGATAGACTATAGTATCAATTCCCTAGTGACCAAAGATGTCTAGTTAGGCCAGGATGTGCAAAACAAGATTTACTCACAGGCTTCTTTGCACAACAAGCTAATCAATTTCTGAAGCCAGTTTTCTTTTCCCACACTGTTTGACTATCTAGGATGTGTTGTTTCAATGCATAGAGTATATCCCCAACAGGAATAGTCTTATTCTTTGAAGCTGAATACAGGACAACAGATAAGGGGCATACAGGTATGGTACCGTGCTGAACAATGTTGACTCCTGCAGCCAATGTACATTCAACACACTGTTTCACAACCTCTGATGGTTCATTTCCTCACAAGGAATCTGTTCTCCAAAGGAATAGTCTTATTCACACAAGCTGAATGTGGTACAGAGTTAAGGGGATCATGCACTCCGGCCGGACCATCTCCTATGAGGATGAGGATTCGCCGGCCGGACTGTTACCAATGTAAATGTTTCTGTGGCAGGTGCAATGTGCATGCTGGTACAACATTTCAGTGTGACACCCAGACAGACAATAATCCAAAGTATGTCTCTCACAATATAATGCATATTCACCTTATCTTCATCCCCGAGTTCAGCTTCAAAGAATAAGACTATTCCTTTGGGAGACTTGCTTGTTGCATTGAAATGTGCTACTCTAGATTGTGGAACATTGTGGGGAAAGCATATTGGCTTCAGGAAGTAAACACAGTATGACATGTATACCCATACACCCTTGCCTTGACTCTGTACTACATTCAGCTTATGTGAATAAGACTGTTCCTTTGGAGGATTCACTCCCTATGGGTAAATGAACCATCAGAGGTTGTGAAACAGTGTTTTGAATGTAGATTGTCTGCAGGAGTCAACATTGTTCAGCACGGTACCATACCTGTATGCCCCTTATCTGTTGTCCTGTATTCAGCTTCAAAGAATAAGACTATTCCTGTTGGGGATATACTCTATGCATTGAAACAACACATCCTAGATAGTCAAACAGTGTGGGAAAAGAAAACTGGCTTCAGAAATTGATTAGCTTGTTGTGCAAAGAAGCCTGTGAGTAAATCTTGTTTTGCACATCCTGGCCTAACTAGACATCTTTGGTCACTAGGGAATTGATACTATAGTCTATCAATGAAGTACTACCAGTCAATACCAAATTTCCTTATATGGCAATCCGACAGCCCGGCTGTTTTCACCGAGCTTCGGCCAAATCTTCGGCCCGAGAAAATGCCCAACTCTTCGGCCCGAGGCAGTACTCAAATCTTCGGCCCGAGAAAATTGTCAACTTTTCGGCCCGAGACAATGCTTGCCAGGTCGGTGAAGCAAAAGCTCGGCCGGCAAAATGTCTGGCTGCTTTGGCCGAGTTTTGGCTGTACCCTTGGCCCGAGACATTGTCTTTTCGGCCGGCAAAAAGTCCGGCCGGACCATTTGTAGTGGTAGGGCCTGAGGCTGGCCGGCTCGTTTGCAATGCTATATCTGTTGACCGGCCGGACTGTTTGCAGTGTGGACTGCCTGGCCACTTTGAATTCTGCCTGCTCCGGCCGCAACGTTGGGAACGAGGGATGACCGGCCGGCATACCCTCCGGCCGGAGCATTGCAACGTTGGGTGAAAGAGGCCGGGCGGATCGTTGAGAAGTGGGGGGGCGGCCGGGGTGTAGTCCGGCTGGAGCGTTGCAACGTCCAGTGAAAACAGGCCGGCCGCAACATTGAGGAGGGGGTGCGGGGCTGGCATGCACTCCGGCCGGAGCGTTGCAACGTACCGTGAAAACAGGCCGGGTGGATCGTTGGGGACAGTATTCAGGGATGGCAAGGCCGGCCGCAACGTTGGAGACGAGGCAGAGCCGGCCAGCATGCACTCCGGCCAGACCGCTGGCAACGTGCTGGCAACGACAACGTCTGCAACGTTGACCCGGACCCCTCCGGCCGGCGCCGGCCGCACCGTTTCAGACGGCCAGATCTCACTCCGGGTTTACCGTTCGGAACGTCAAATCTTACTCAGTAGGCTCCGTCGGCCGCGTGTGCGCGTAGACGTCGCAGATGTGAGCGTCGTGCAGCAGACGGGCAAATCGCCTGCTGGTCTGCTTTCCTGTCTACCCGCTCTTCCGCCTGCACGCGTTCGTCAGCGTGTCTGCGATCTACCCCTTGCCAGCTGTCTACTCACCTTGCCCATACCTTGCCCATCCCTCGCTCGCTCGTTTTCTTGTCAGCTCACTCACCCTCATACTCATCTGCTTGCCCTGCTGCCCACCGACCCATTCGTGCACCCTCTCGCCCTTCCGCTCGCCCGCCCGCTCTCTCTTCCGCTCGCCCGCCCGCCCGTTCTCTCTTCCACTCTTCCGCTCGCCCAACCGCTCGGCCGGCTCATTGTCCGTTCGTCCACTCATAGCCCGCTGCTCGGTCGTAGGCTACGTCCGAACGCAGGACATTGGCCCTGCGTGCTCGCTGTCGTCGTGCGCAGTGGAGGTCCGCACCCTGTACCCTCCACCCGCTCGCCGCCCGCCGGTCCGCTTGCTTACCCCGATGCCTGCGATCCGGTGGGTGTGTGTTGCTGCTCGCCCGCCCGTCCTCTTGTCTGCCCGCCGCGCATCCGTCGGCACGGCGTTGGCCCTGACGTGATAGCGATCGTCGTGTGCGTCGCGCTGCACGTCGCCGCCCGCTCGCCGTTCGCACGCCTCTGGACTACTTTACCCCTAGCTGATTCAGTTGACGTCAGTCAGTCTTAATCAATTAGTTGCTAAGGTCCGTAGAAGTCCATCAATAGCGATAGCTAGCATTGTGAGTAACACGACAGCAAACGACAACGAACACGTACAACTAACACGTACATCCAGTACACAATAGACGGATATTGCTCATGCTAATCCTACACAATGACAGCGACGACGAGAGGTACGACGAGAGACGAGAGGTGCGACAAGAAGGGACGACGAGCGACGACAGGTGCCACGAAAGGCGACGACGAGAAACTACGTGGGAATAGAACTGTGACAACGAGAGGTGCGACAATGCGAGGGGTGCTGCGACGGCGTGCGACGGCGATGACGAGGGGTGCAGCGTTGATGACGAGGGATGCAGATGACGAGGGATGCGGCAGCGGCGACGAAGGGCGGTGAAGATAGGTGCGATGACGGTGGGGACGATGAGACAGCGATGAGCCGTGTGTCACGATCCGGTGCATCTTCGCACTGCACACGCGGAGATTAAGCTTCACTCACGCCGTGCTCGGCCGTGCTCGGCCCATCGCGGGGACGCTTGTTCGCCTGCACGTCCTCCTCAGAGGGCTTCCGCTTGACTCCTCCTGTATCCGCAATGTATCGTAAGCCTGCTAGGAGTTCTTCCGGCGTCTTACGCGGACGAGAACGGCGCTCTTTTTGTGTAGCTCCGGAGTTGACGTATAGGCGGTCCATTGCAGTACCTAGGGCACCCTCCTTGACCGCTGCGATGATATCGGGAATGTGGTCGTCGAAGTTCAAAGCTTCGTCCGGAGGGTGGAGAAGGTGTTCGCAATATTTAGTCAGTTGTTCGTACTGGGCGCTGCGTTGTTTGTCATCTTGGACTTGAGCGAGTGCTTTCCCCAGGATGTTCTGATGCGGCGGATTCGTCATCAAGACCTCAGCCAGCATCCGCAGCATCTGCTTATACCCCTCCTGAACGTTGCCAAGGAAGTGTTTGACCTGGGTCTGCTGGTTGTCGTCGTACGACTCGAGCACCGGCTTATTGAAGTGGTCAGTAAGCAAGGAACTGTGACAGAGCACGGTTACTTACGATAGCGAAGCCACTAGCGATCCATTTTTCCATGGACCATCTTTCCTTAACCGCCTTCCTGAGCGTGTTGAGTGCAGATATCGGTATGTAGATCCAGAATACGCGCGCAGCGCCGAAGAACACGGCGCTGTGTTCGGCCACCAGAGGACCCGCACCACGAATCAAACCTGCGTTACTCGCAGACAGAGCATCGTACATGGCTGCTTGAAAGGCGAGGGCACTGGCAGTATAACTCTTTCTTGGAGGCGCCGACCATTTTGTCTTATCGGTGCCGTTAGGTATTAGCTCCTCGATGTTGAAGCACGTTAAGGCGACGAGCTCCGCGTCGTCCACGTCTTCACCAACGAGTCGTTCCGCCATTTCCAGGAGCTTAGGTATATCTTGAGCAATCGGATATTTTGGCAGCCGACGTACTGACCTTCGTTAGCGCCCCCTCCTTATTGTTTTCATCGTACATGAGTAATCATATATTTTGGCAGCCAACGTACTGACCTTCGATAGCTTCCCATCCGTATTGTATTCATTATACAGGGATTGCGACTGTGCGGTCTCGTTCAGCGAAGTGATGAGTAGGTCACGCCCAACTGCGATAGCCTCGACCAGATCGGCAATCTTCTTCGAGCCACCTTTTCCTCGTATGGACGCGTAGTCCGCAGGGTCATTCGAGATATTGAGCGCGAGTTGTACCCACTCTGGTGAAGTGAAGAAGGTGTACCATCTCATGTTGATGTGACGCCTTTGCATCGTGCCGAGAAGATCGTGCAGGTAACTGGCTGTCATCGTAGTCAATTCCTGCTTCTCCTGATCATACTCGAACCTGCAATGGCACGGTGAGATGAGATGAGATGACGCTAAGCCGCCGCACAGCAAGAACACTCACTCAAATTTATTGAGGTCGTCGTGCGCCTCGATCCACCCCTGCAAATTCTTCCAGTCCTGCGCAGTGAAACCGGTGACCTTCTGTGTGTAGAGACTCAGTCAGCTACTGTGATATGAGTCGCATACAGATACTCACGACTTCGCCAGTGACGTGTGGGAGGTCGAGGTACCGGTCTCCGAAGGCCTTGCGAACCACCTCTGGGTACTCGTACTCGTCCTTGGTAGCAGCTGTGCATCAGCTAACATTAGCTGGCTGCATGGGCTGATTACCACTGGACGAGCACGTAACACATACCTGATTGTTCGGTGTCGATCAGATCACTCTCTACCTCTGTGAGGACCAACGATTAGCGATCTGCGCGCATGATAACATGTGGCGTTCGGATACCTACCTTGCTCGGCTGCGTTGGCTTTTGTGACAGGGACGTGCTTCCTAGTGCTGTATTTCTCTGTATACCCAAGTGAGCGAAATCGATCTGTCAGTGCCGCCGAAGCACCTACTCACCTCCAATGATGTTAGGTTTCTGCTGGTAAGTCTGGGACCCTCGATCCCCCTTCCCCTTAGCGCTGTTGTGACTATTGAGGCGAGGCTGAGGAGAGCGGGGAGGGGGTGAGCGAGATGGATGCGTAGTAGATCGAAGTAGAGACGTGGTGGACATCTTGGTTCACGGTCTCCTCCTGGGGAGCTGAGACGTTGAAGAACCAAGAGCGGCCGCCAGGGAGGCTAGTCAAGTGAGACTTCGTTGTCACTTGACAAGGCCGGGGTTAGCCCCGCACGGCGCACCGCATGCATCCTCGCCACAGCATTCAGCCTTATCAGCTAAGAATACGTCCGACTCACCTCTGCCTGTGAACTGGCCTCACTCTCCCACTGGCACCCATTCACAGGCTGCTCGTTACAGCCACTACGTCTCACGGCTAAGTACGCATCACGACTTCTGACCTTGACGTAGGCTTCCACTGACTTAATCCGTAGTATTCGCGCCCAGCGCGCTCAGCGGCAGGGTCCGAGTCCTGTTCCTGTGGCGTGGGAGGCGCAAGGGCGTTGCGGTTGCGCATCGCACGCCACAGCTCGCAGCTCGATCGGTGGCGCAGCCTTGTAGTCCGTTCAACAGAAAAAAACTACAGTACGTACCTTAGAACAGATGTCAATATATCGATTGGATATACCATGCGTGTCCGGTTACAACGCGAAGGCTAAACCTATACCAACATAAGGTCAGTAGGGATCGTGCAACAGGCTGGAACTCAGTATCAATACCAATGTTCGCACCTTGAGTCGACATGGAGGTTGAAGGAGAAAGGCGTTCCGGAAGGCGCTGAGTTGACGCGCGAGATCTCACTAATGTAACGTAATGACAGATGAAGGGTCGTTGCAATTTGTTGCACTTTTTGGATGCCAGTGCAAGTTCACCTTCCTCTGGCCCTTCACTCCCAGTGAGTTATTATTCCTTCGCTGCATCTGTATCGATCTGAAGTGAGTTTTATGGGCTAGGTATGCCGAAACGAAAGCGCACCTTTGAGGAGCTCCTCAATGACACCTGCGGCGCTTGTCATCAGCCTTTCAAGACGACGCAGGGCCTCTGCGCCCACCAGAGCATGAGCAAAAAATGCTCCTGGTACAAGAAAGGAAAATTGAAAGCGTTGTTCGCAGTTGAAGATGAGAGGTTAGACGACGACGTAGTGGTTGAGGATACAAGGTATGCCAGATACTTCACTGCCAGGCTTGATTTATTAAAAGAATGGTATATTCAGGACAGTCGGAACGTCAAGTCCACGGGACAACGATGGCCATCCTCGGCACCCCCCAGACTATTCACATGAAGAGGATGAAGAGGATGATGGCAATGGCGAAGGAGAGGACGATGAACTGGACTCACTGTTCGATTTTATTGAGGTCTGTGCGCCTTCGAAGCGGCCTGTTGATCCAGGAGGAAATGCAGACGCACCCGGGCCGTCGACTGCAGGGCCTTCGACCGCATCGACTCTGAATGCAAGACGTACGGCGCTCTCTCTGGACGACGATGACGATGAGCGAGTAGTGGATGAAGATGAAGAGGCAGGCGTGGTAACTCAAGTCGATTCACAAGTACGTAGGAAATGGCTAGAGGGCAGGGAGGATGGACGATCAGGTGAGGTGCATTATTCTCACTGGGGATGAGCATGATTCTAACCTGGAGAAGACGGAAGTGCGGACGCCAACGCAGAAGAAGAGGGCGCGGATGACGCAGAGGAACAGACGAAGAATCCATGGGCGCCATTCGAGTCTGAGATGGACTGGCGATTCGCCTCATGGGCTATCCAGGAAGGACTTACCTTGGGATCTATTGACAGGGCATTAGAGATTCCTGGGGTGAGTAGTTGTATTCCAAATTCTACGAGGTGTGCATACTAATACTTGCTTACACGCCTCAGTTCCAGGAGAGACTCGGCCTCTCGTATCACAACAGTCGCTCTCTCCTGCAACGCGTGGACTCTCTTCCTGACAGGGCTGAGTGGATGGAACGATGCCTCTCGTTCAAGGACCGTCCAAACGAGAAGCATCTTCTCCAGTTCCGCGATATTATTCAAGCAATCAGGACTTTGCTAGGAAACCCGGAGCATGCCGATCACATTGTCTATCGACCTAGGCGGATTTTCTCTGATGCGTCGAGGACACATCGCCTGTACAACAAAATGTGGACGGGGTGTTGGTGGCACGCTGTCCAGGTGAGTGGTCAGCATCAGTTTGCATATACCGATTGCTGATTCAAGAACAAGAGTCTACTACCTGAAGGAGCTGCAGTTGCGCCGGTCATTATAGCGACCGACAAAACGCAGCTCACCCAATTCTCAGGAAACAAGGCGGCTTACCCAGTCTACATGACGCTGGGCAATATACTGCGTGCTCTGAGGCGCAAGCCATCTGAGCATGCATGTATTCTCATTGGTTATCTTTCCGTCGACAAGGTCAGCTCTGACGGTATCACTCAGCGCAAGCAACGCGCTCTAGTTCAGCAACTATTCCATGTGTCAGTACGAGCAATCCTGGAACCACTGGTCAAGGCAGGAAAAGAAGGCATTGATGTTACCTCTGGCAATGGAGAGGTCCGTCGAGTTCACCCCATTCTTGCAGCCTACATTGCAGATTACCCAGAACAATGTCTGGTCACCTGCGCTAAGTCGGGAACTTGCCCCAAATGCCAAGTTCCAGAGGACCTTCTAGGATCCGCCCAACCTGGCACGCCCAGAACGTCCCTCTGGACTCTAGACGTCCTACGAAAAGCCGAGGAGAAAACCCAAGGGAACACAAGCTCTAATGCGTACACACGAGTGTGCCAAGACCTCAACGTATCGGGCTATGTCGTGCGTCCATTTTGGCGCGATCTACCCTACACAGACATCCACTCTTGTATTACCCCTGACGTCCTCCATCAACTCTACCAGGGAGTTTTCAAACACATAGTTGAATGGTGTACTGAACTCGTCGACGAGCTCGAGCTTGACAGGCGCATTCGTTGCCTTCCGCCAGCATTCGGTACTCGCCACTTCAAAAACGGATTTTCAAGCCTCTCTCAAGTTTCCGGTACCGAGCGCAAGCACATGGCGAGGATACTCCTCGCTTGTCTTGTAGGCAAGGTACCTCAGCAGGTCATCCTGGCGTTTAGGTCCATCTTGGACTTCATATATCTCGCCCAATACACTACCCACGATGATACGACACTCCAGTACATGGAGGATGCCCTCAAGACATTCCACTGTAACAAGCACGTCCTTGTCGACCTGGGAGTGCGCGAGCACCTTAACATCCCCAAATTTCATTCTTTACTCCACTATGTTGACACCATTCGACTGTTAGGCACTACAGACAACTACAACACGGAGGCGTTTGAACACCTCCACATAGACTACACAAAAATGGATGGAGGGCATCGAACCATTGCGACGCGCGCCCGCAGATGGTGCGTTGGCTGGTGCGACAGGAGAAAATGGTGGTTCTTCGATCATCCATCCATTGCTGGCTCAGAAGCACAGGTCGCGAGCAAGACAAGGATGTCGACGAGCGTGTCGCGGGCGAAGTCGACGAGCATGTCGCAGGCGAAGTCGACCAGCCTTCGTGTCGCAACGGTCGAATCAAGCTCCCCAAACACCCAACAGCACCCCTCCAGGCCCTCCCAACCATCGTCGACAAACACTGCGCTCCCGGTTTCATTGACGCACTCGCACAACATATATACAAGCTTAAGAACAATGGTCGCGCCCTCACCTCCTCCCAGCTTCAGAATGCCGTCGATCGCATGCCGTTCAACCGTGTCGACGTGTTCCACGGCTTCAAGTTTGCTCCAGAACCTTTGACCGACGACACCCAGGAGACGGATGCTGTGAAAGCTAAGCCTGCCACAGCTCGACAAGCCGCGCTGTGGTGATTGCGAGTCCCCGGTGTGTGGACGACGCGGAAGGGAATTCTTGGTATCGGTGAAAACGATGGGCGGGGGTCGTTGGTGCAAGTTGACGGTTCGCGGAGGAAGCGAGCGAGGTCCGTGGTACCTCGCGGAGGGAAAAGGGGAGATGGGGTGGTGCGCCGCATGCTTCGTCCGCGATGTCCTTTAGTGAAGACCGCCTTTCCTGAGCCTGGTATACTCGATAGCCTTCCCTCCGACGATCCTAACCTGAGCTCTCCTGGATCCTGAGCCTGAGCCTAACTTCTGCGACCTTCCTTAGCCTGAACGCGAGCCTGAGACGGGACCTGAAGCCTGAGATTGCCCGGTGCAACCTAGATACTGAGTCCTGAGAGGTAGTGGTAGGTAACTAACTCTCCTTCCCTCCGCCCCGTCCTCCTAGCCCCCTTCCGCCGCCTTTCCCACGTCCCTGCCTCGCTGGCACCCGTTCCCCTCCGTTCCTACTCCTTCCGCCCCCGTGGGTCTCCCTCCGCCATCCCTGCCATCCTCATCTGTGCCCCAGTCCACCATCGTGTGAGTCCTCAATGCCCGCCGACATCCCACCGAACCCCTCGACCATCGTCTACACCACCCGTTTCTACCGCCTCGTCGACCTCATTCGTGACGAGCGTGTGGTAGAGCCCCGTCTGAACCCCGATAGCGACCTTGAGTGGCTCGCTTGGGCCCATGGCGCCCGATGGCTAATCGTACGTGCCTTCTTCCGCCTCATCCTCCTCGTCTCGCCAACCCGCCTTCGTTCCGCACAGCGGATGCTCTTCGATTCTCGGTCTCGCGCAGTTGCCCACGGCGACGCATCCCTTCCGCTCGTCCGCCAGTACTCGGACGTCCAGGATCTTATCGAGTACCTCGACCAGGTCTTCCTGACTCTCCCGTCCCAGCATAGCTACGTCGGCGAGCCCTACCCGTTGATCGCCTGGGCTCCAAACCGCGTCACCGCTGAGCAATCCGATGCCGAGGTTGGTCGCCCGCTTCTTCCGATTCGGTACATGGAACGGCCCATGCAATTATCTTCCTTCCGCGCCTCCTCCGACAGCCTCGATGGTCTGCTCACCCGCTTCCAAGGCCTCCTCGACGAGTGCCGGACCGCCAACCGCGACGCTCGTTCCGAAGCCGTCCGTTTCGCCCGAGGCCTGGGTTCCGTTGAGGCCGGCGTCCGGGACTTGCACGCTCGCTTGTCGGAGGGAGTGTACGTGCCTGACGGCTACTCCGGAATACCGCGTCGCCTGCAGTTTGCACGCCCTCCGGACGTCGAGGCCATGGAGGAGGGAGAGGTCGAGGATGAGGTGGCGGAGGGACCTGCCGTTCATGTACAGTAGCCTTCCTCCTTCCGCATGTATTTGGTTGGGTGCTCGATTAGCTCTTCCGCCGTGTGCGTTCGCTTGTTCGACAATCGATGTTGCGTTCGCTTGTTCGACAATCAATGTTGCCCTATGCCGGTTGCTGCCCCTTCCCGTCTTGACTTGTACGTGCGATGTATTGAGGTCGTGTATTGAGGTCGTGCCGCTGCTCCCATGTGGGCCCACCCCACAGCGCGTTTCGATATGGTGGTTGTGCTGCAAGGAGAGGACACAGAAGCTACCGGTTTGCAAGGTCTGCAGTCTCACCTACTAACGTCTTAGCGTTCTAACTGGCATATATCTACAGGTACTAGAATAGGTCGTGTCAAGGTTATATTCAAGTTACCTCGTGACCTCAAAGATCCTCGAACCCTCCGGCCGCTACAAGCACCATTGAATTGGGCTAGCCAGGGGCCACTTGCATAAGTTGAGTGGTTCTCCAAGTTAGAAGCTCAAGCAGATCCCGTACATATGATGTATACGATACACAAACCTCCCCTTCGCTCGAATGGCAAGCCGGTCGGTGAGATTATTCCCTTGTCTATCATTCGCCAATCCTGTCAGCTAGCTCCACGTCCCCCTCGAACACCACATAATGTTACTAGAGACACCTTACCCTATGACTGGAACACCAATAACGTACTAGATAGGGCTAACAAATTCTGGCTTAATCACTGGGCATCGAAGTACGCATACCAGACCCTTTGGTAGAATAATTCTCAATATGCTTTGCTTCGATTGTGACTTTTGTACCTCTTACGCTAGCACGATGGACTAAGCAGATCGAACGAAATGTATTGAACTATCTGAACATCGAGAGAGAGCGTGCTACACATTGTACTTGTGCTTAAGTGCACAACCTGCACAACCATGCATACTCGCGCACCAGCGCACCACAACGTGCAGCAGATCACCACCCATTGCTCGAAAGCCCTCTTTGGAGTTGATGCGATAATGACACCACTCGTTGAGGCGGTTACGGTACCTGCTCGTGCACGTCAGTGTCGGGCGTCGGCCTGAGGCGGTCAGCAGCAGCCTTACTCACACGTCGAGACACTTTAAGCTTGGGTACTCCGGCAGATCCTTCAGACTGGGTCGGTCTCGTTCTGCTAGACCTAACGTCAGCGATGCCCATACGAAGCACTGCGACACGGACCGTCGGGGGTGCTCAGGGCTAGTAGACGGCTGAGCAGACGGGTAGGCAGATGGGCGCGCGGGTGGGCGAACGGTTAGACGTATGCTACAGCGAACTGATTTGCGGGCGAGCTGACAAGGGCACGGAGTGGACAGTGGACGAGCTAACTGGCGAGCGAGCGATCAAATTCCTGCTTACCGGAGTCCCATTCATGAGCTGCACTATCGGTGCGTGGCCTTGCGAGCTCTCCCGCTCGTCTTCGCGGCACCTTACCTCACCGTCTCCTTTGCGGTCCTCTCACTCCATTTCAGATCCGTATTCGGCGTCTTGTTTGAGTGATCTTGTCACTCGGCGCTGCGTTCGCATCGTGTGAGTTCCCGGTCTCACAGCCGGGTTGCGTATCGCCCAAGCTGCGGGACTATGAGCTGACAGAAACCGCCACAGTCTAAGCATCGAAGATAGAGTCAAGGTGAGAGCGGTAGTCAGACTAGTCTTGGCTGCCCGAGTAGTGAGCGGTCGTGGCGATCGACAGGCGTCAAGCGGAATGCTCACCTGACTTGCCAGGCGACGTCACTCCAAGTCGCCCGCTCCAAGTTGGACTCGGAGTCCAAGTTGCCCGCTCCAGGTCGCCCGCATCGTCCAGGGACACCGTCGGCGGCCACAAAGCCCCTGCCTTCCTGCTCCAGCAACGGGCCCAGCACACGCTCGCCAGGCGACCTCGCTAGCGCATACGTACGACACAGAAGCACCATCGTCGTCAAAGGCTCAGAGCTCTATCTTCACCACCCTTTGACCTACTGAAATCACCACTGATCCCATCGCCACCACCTTCGCCGCCAATATCTTCGGCCTCTTCCCCTCAACTTCCCCCCAAACCCCGTCTCATTCGTCAGGACCTGCCACCGGCAAAGAAGGCGCGTGCCGCACGGTATCAAAACTACGTACCGGAAGAAGAGAGTGTCCGGAATGACTACTCGCGGTACGCGTGCGTGTCAGACCCCGGAGGAGATCTCGGCCATGGTCTTGAGCAAGATGAAGGAGACCGCTGAGGCATACCTCGGATAGACTGTCACGCACGCCGTTGTCACTGTCCCTGCATGTAAGTGTTGTAGCTCACGTCTTTTTGTCTAATATACTACTGACCACGTGTGCAGACTTCAATGAAGCTCAGTGCCAAGCCACGAAGGATGCGGGCACCATCGTCGGTCTCCAGGTCGTCCGTATCATCAACGAGCCCACGGCCGCTGCCATCGCGTACGGTCTCGACAAGAAGGGCGGCGAATCTCAAATTATCGTCTACGATCTCGGTGGTGGAACCTTCGATGTTTCGCTGCTCTCAATCGACGACGGCGTCTTCGAGGTCTTGGCCACTGCTGGTGACACCCACCTCGGTGGTGAGGACTTTGACAACCGTGTGATGGACTATCTCATCAAGCAGTACAAGAAGAAGACGGGGACCGAGGTCT